AAATTCGCGGAAGGTGGGCATTCCGGCCGAAAATCGCGGATTTCATGGCGGATGTGGCGGCCGCCACAAACGCATAGCCCTACTGATTGCTGATCGCTCGAGATACTTTTATAGATGGACTCATCATCACTGAGACGTGTCAATATCTCACCGTACGGGCGTGAGGATCTCAGGGTTATCTCGCGCGTCCGATCGATGTGTGATGCCGTCGTTGATCGCGTAAGCGTCGTGGTGCGGGTGATCTCTTATTGTAAGAATTCTCCGTAAGATCTCGGGTCATTGCGGCGCGGTCTGGCGTGGCCGCTGCGACATCGTACGATAACTTGATCTACATACAAAGTTTCTCTCGGACAGGAAGTTGACGCAGACCAGTGCCTTTAGCGTAGGCGACATGCTCGAACCAATTGGCGACAGCGAGGGTAAACAGCTTAACATAAACCCTCATCAAGGAGACCTTCCGTCTACAAGGTTCAAATATTCAGTGCCCCATCGACGTTGTTGTGTCGGGTAGAGCTCGGAAAATTCTACCTGTGTTCAAGCCTAACGAGTCCTGTTATTTGCGGAGGAATAGCATATTTTAGGAGAATCCGGCACTCAGAAAGGTTCGTGGTGTTTCACTTACGAAGCTCGAGCGCACCTAGTTTTTTAATCGAGCAGACGTGACCTGCACGAAAAATAGGAAATATTCACCGCATGGATGGGTATCATCGCCGCTCATACCGGCACTGATGAGACGGGGTGTACCGAATGAAGCTCGCGATGACGAAGAAATGTGATGAATACTGAATGAGCCCCGCGGCTCTGTTGCGGGTGCGGGACGCCCTCGAGAAACATCTCCCAGAGTCCATTGGCTCTCGCAGAACCTCCGCGGCGGGAGAACTCCGATTTCTGAATAATTGAGCTCCCATGCCCAGATTACTCTGTTTGATCAGCACCTTGTTTACGCACAGACTCGACCTGCTCTTCTTCCCGGAGTGTTTCTCGAACCGCAATCCGAAATAGGGCGACAAAGTTGAAAAGCGGCGAGGCACCAAATTGACGAGCAAACACCTCCGTTGTTCCGGAACTCCGAGTTCTCAGAGTCTGCTAAGGGAAGGCGCGGTCGAACACTCGCGCTGGATTGCGAGAGTAGAACCCTTCGGAGCGTAGATGATTTTTCAACCGGAAGGTCAGGTGGGAGCTTTAGGGACTTGAGAAGGAGCCTATCCGGCTTCATTCACGCGAGACTTTCGAGTCCCTTCGAATTCCAACTGCGAAGATCGGAGTCAGACTCCCAATGGACCTTCGAGCAATCTAAATTCAGAGCTTCATCCCCCCGCTGGGTGCGCCGCAGCACTTTCGTAACGCGCGTGGTCTCTTTGCGGTAGATTGTGCTCCTCGCTAGGCCACCGTTTGAATCTGACCGGAAGGTGTTTCCTTTAACATAAGAGCTCCCCGCAGCGTCTGATTCAATGGCCAATTTTATTTATTTGTGTCAAACACGGAGTCTCTTCCGACCGAGGTTCGCAGACATACCGCGAAATGTCGAGAATGAGGCTCAAAAACCGCATGGTGGAAAGCTCCAAGTCCCATGAAACGCCGGGCTCGTTTGCCATCCTCTCTTTCTCTCGGAGCGAGAACCTACGCGTTTCTATATCTGTGAAACCTGCAAAACCCCGCTTGATGACTTACAATCCTTACAAAGTGGAACCGCATGTGCAAACGAGAAGTAGGGCTCCTTGTATGAGCGAACATCGTTTTACCGCAATTCATTTCCTTCGAATCCGAGCCATTGCGACTCGTTGACATAAGAGTACTCGAGTTGCCTCTCGGACAAGTTTCCCTTGCGAATGTGAGACGTAGGTGAGGAGAGAAAATCAGAAGATGAGAGCTTTTTGCGGTATCGCTCGAGACAATATTGAGCCAAGGAGCTTTTCTGAAAGCTCTTTCATGTATGAAGGTTAAACAAGAAGTTGGAGGCTATGTATTCGTGCCACGCTTTGCGTAGCCGACAGCTCGAACGCACGGAGCTTGAACGACGAAAATATTGACTTTCGAGATATCAAAAGCTAGCTATCAGCTCGAATGACCCGGCGGAGCTCGCGATACTCTCAGTCTTGAAGAGAAATCCACATCTCCACGAGGAAGCCACGGGATTGTATCTTACTGCGACCCACTTTCTTTCGTAGTCGTGGGAGCTCTGGACGCCCTATACCCCATCCTAAAGGATCCCCGACGAATGAACTGCGCTGGCACCGAGAAGTCGGATCTCCCGTGGGGAACATAATTCCGCCTCTGGTAGAATGGGAGAAATCGCTCCGACCCGGGGAGATCGTCGACCCTGGAAGGAAAATATAAGGGCTCCGTTGCACCGTTTCAGTTTCGCTACTTTCACCATCGCTTCGCTTGAAAGGTCTCCGGGTGTATCTCCCGCATCCTAGAATGCTGTCAGAGGGAAGCCGGAAGTTTCAGGACAGTGCGAACACTCAGCCTCCGTTTCCCTGCGACATCCCTCGAGGCGACGGAGACTCTGCCTGAACTACTCATTCTTCTTACATTAGAAGCTCCCGTCCGACCAGAAGTGGACCTCGGGCGTCGATTTTGGTGAGTTTCCGAGTAAGGGCCTTCTTTCCAATGTCGCGGGAGGGAGAGTCCTTCGTTTTGTAGTTTCATCGATCGCTGAGGTATATTCCTTTCTCTCTGAAAGGGTGGGTATTCTGGAGTGCTGCGTACGAGCGTCCCTCGATCTCGACGGTCCAGTTTTTGGGATCTCTGAGACCCCGCCACCGATTAAGCATCCCCGCCTACTCGGCTTGTCCCGCTTCTGAAACGAGCGACCCATCCCATTATCTTATTCTCCCGCTGGAACTCAGACCATCTCCTCGAATAGGAACAAGCGGCCACAGATGGGGCCAATCATAATCATGGGCGCCTCAGCCCTCCATTCGTCTCCCCGTACAAAGCAAGATCTGTTTATCTGTCAACCGAACTCGGCATTCGATCGAGGCGAAATCCTCTCAGCTCGCGCCAGCCTACGTTCAAGCGCGGCATCAGGACCCAACACGCCGAAAACACTCCTCCCTACGATATATGTATGATGATTGACGAGTGATTAGCGCGTCTCGAGCGAGGCGTGCTATTCCTTCGCGCGGGCTTTATGAACAGTGTAGCGTGTGGTCACTTCAACCTGTGACAACCTCCATGCGACTCGAGCATCTCCTCTGGCAAGATCCCAGCTGATAGCCAAAGCGGCCGACGTCTCAACCAGGACCGGCCACACTGTCAAAAAATGTAGGGCTCTCATGCCGTCCTCGCACTCATTTCCCGGCGGTGAGTCTTGTGCTTGGAGGACCGCGGTAGCCCTCCAGGCAGCGACGGAGCGAGTGAATCTCTCCAGGAGGAGCTTAAAATCCGACCCAGTTGAATTTCCTCGTCATATCGCCTCGGAAATCGAGATGTAATATTCTACCTCCGCTGTTTGATTTTCTCCTTTTCCGGGAGCTCGAGTCGAGGGTTGGACACCGGCATTTGTTTGCCGCTGAAGAGAATCCGCCATCATTCGGATGGGTGAATTATGTCTAATCAGTCGAGTTCATAAGTTTGGGCAACGAAAAATCTCAGGAAAGGCATGCGAAAAGGCAGTGAAAACCCTCGGAAAAAGCACCGAAACTTGGCAGAATAGGCGTTATAGGCAGGGAAACAAACGCATCAAAGCGTCCATCAGTCTCGTAACATGGATTCCCATCGGCGAGTAATCGACGCCGATCTGATACGAGCATTTTACAACGGCAAAAATTTTGCGCGTTCAGGCGGACCATCAGAACTCGTCGAAAGCAGGATGTGCTCCTGGAAACCAGGATCGCCGACCTCATCTCATCGCCGATCTCAATAGCAAACCCCCAGTTTGCCCAAAACCCTCGGGATTCGGCCTCTCAGAAGCTCAAAGAGACACTCCAGGCACGAGAAGAATGAAACAGGCATTTTGGATCAAAAAAAGCCGAAGAAGGCAGATACAGGCATTTAAGGCATAATGCCTGAACTCCCGAGCTCTACTGATGTGTCTCTGGGGGAACATATTATCTCTTCATTCCGCGGGCCACTGCTCGCTTGTTTCCAGCGCGGCGCGACGTGAACGCTGAGATGCCGACGAGATATTTGTCCTTATAGGTCTAATCTGTGGAAAGAGGGAGCTTCGGATTTCCTGTGAGTTTGGCCACTCGCTCGAACTATGGAGATCTTCTTGTCAGCACTTGGAAATGAGCGGTATTCCAGACTCGACTCGAGCTTTCTGACGGGCGCTACGCGACCAAAATCTGCGGTGGAAAATATTACGGGCTTTTACCAAGACGCATCATTCGATCCCACCATCACTATTTTCGAGGAGACCTGCTCGCCGCCGCCTACGCAGGTAGCACCAAGTCAGTGCGCATGCCGGAGGCAGAGATAGGCCAAGGTTATTATCACAACCAGAAAAAAACGGTCTAGACATGCAGGGAAGCGGTCTGCCGAATCGAGTCGATTACCGCGAACACGTCGACTTTGATCATCATCCGGCGATAAACTCTGGATCGTTGCTAGGTGACTCGAGACTCGAGCCCATATTTACGATCACGTTTACGATTGACTCTTTCCTTATTGTGTCGTCATCAATACGACAGGGCTGCTGATTCCAGGAGACTAGGGAGAAAAGCCTCAGGACTTGGTTGAGAGTCGGTGCCAGAATCGTAGGACGAGCGGAGTAGGAATCCCCGGAGCCGCAACGGCTGCCGAAAACCGGTCAACAAAGACGCTCGACGATTTTCTCAGCAATCCAATGCTGAAGATTCGAAACCGCCGTTCTCTGGCATGAGGACGATTTTCCGTCGCAAAGATTGGCGGGAATCAAATAAAACACGAAACGGCATACGTTTGTTCCCCTCTCATCTCTTAGTAGCCGCGCGACTTTTACTTGCTTTCCGTGCTTTAGTTCCGAAGGCTAAGACTGCAGAGGTTCGAATTCTGTTGTGTCTGCTGCTACTTTGCCCAGCCGCTGTGTGTGCTCCGCTGGAAGGAGACGATTTGGAGTGAAAGATAGCGAAAAATTAACCCGAGTTCGTTCATTGTGCTGGATATTTGATGCAGTGCCTGACTCGACGCCTTGGTCGACTGCGATGAAGTCAGCGGATTCCAGGCAGCATGAGCTCACACTGGAAACGGAGCGCCGACTCGAGGATCTTTTTGAGAAGCTTGACGTTAATGGAGATGGTCGAATCGACGTCTCTGACCTCACAGAGGGCTTGCAGAAGCTCGGGGTCCCTCATTCGTCGAATATGGCGATGAAGTTCATCGAGTCCTCCGATCTGACCCGCGATGGAGTGGTGGATTTCGCCGAGTTCGCGCAGTATGTGCGAGAGCACGAGAGAAACCTTAAATTGGTTTTCAATCGCATCGACGAGAACGCCGACGGTCACATCGATGAACAGGTGAGCTCCCCCGAAGGGTTCTGCGATCCAGTTCTCAGTATTCATACGGGACCGATATCCCTAGCTCCCTGGCTTGAAAGCATGTACGCTCAACCAGGTGGAGAATTCGGGTCCGGCTCTGGGTGTCGTTGACCCAGAATGACCGAGCGTGTCGATTGGATGGTTTGTTGGCTCGCTCGGAAGTGCCTTCGAGCTCCAGACAGAGGTGACTTTTCCGAACACGAATTGGCCGGTTTGTCGTCCGAGATCGGCGATCCCCTATCTCTACGGCTCCTCGGAGGCTGGCAGAGTTCCATATGATTGTGAATAGTAGGAGGCGCGAAAAAGGAATGGTTTCCCGATAAACTTGGCCGAGAGACAGTAACCTCACTTCTTAAGCGAGCTGCTGAGCTGCTCGTGCGCTGGATAGAGAGAACGTATGGGAAGTGCCGCTGTGCACGGGGGTAGGGAGAGGAATAGAATTTCAGTGCGGCCTTTCCGTTCCACCGCGTGGTCCGGATAAAAATGAAACCACCCGGTTTCAGGAGAGGGAGCTTTTGAATTCTCTAGGACTAACATGATTTGAGTCGTTTGAGTGTCTTGATACGACTGGGACAGCATTTCCGGCTCGGCCCGTTCGCTGCATGCCTAAGCGATGACCGGAGCCTATCCATGAAAGGAGAGCTCCGTGAATAAGCCAACCAGGCTTGCTCATATGTGTAAACATGCACTAGGTTGGTTATGTCCCCTCGGGATGTCCATAGCGTGTTAGACGATTCCAGCCTTCCAGTTGTTCGAGCGGGAAACAAAAACATGATTAGGGCCGAGATCGCCGCGCTTGAGGTCCTTGAATAGTCTCTCGGGATGTACCTAGTATCAAACAAACGTGGCGCTGCCGACAAAACAGGACAGAAATCACTTGATCTCGATGGAGAAGCAACATCCGCTGTGATGATCATTTTCAATGCTCGGATCATTCTTCTTGTGATTCTCTCGAGTCAATGAGATGCGGAATGAGAAGACTCGTAGAATGATCAGACTCCGAGAACGGCGGGACAGATTCGGATCGAATGATCGATTTCAATCGATGACTCCACGGCGTTGGAGAGTGTATACTACCAGAATAGAACTCCGGAGCCTTACGAAAACCCCGTTATAATTATCAATATTTATCGCTCCAGATAGAAGCGGGAAACGATGGACTCTGCTTCAAACGATATAACAACTCGGCTCATCGTTCTTTCTGTCGCACTTCCGCAGGAGATAATTTCATCCTTCTGGAAAATGGGGATCAAGATTGATCAGACCGAAGCTCACAGATTGCTCCGTCGAATGGACACGGACGGTTCCCTTACAATAAATTATGAAGAATGGCGAGACTACCTCCTGTTCCATCCTGCATCGAACCTCCATGATATCATATCGCTTTGGAGGCATCACTCGACCATCCTCGACGTGGGTGAGTACAAAGAGAGATGTTCTTGCACGAGAGCGCTCCATTCAAGACTTCGAGGGTGCAGCCATTCTGAGAAGATTTCGCCGAGACATTCTCACCGCGGAAGCTCTCGAGAAACTCCTCGGCGTTCGTCACAGCTTGGACAGCGCCTGCTCACTCTCGGCTCGCGTTCTGCGGCGAGTCCTTGAGGTTCTCGCGAGACAAAGACATCCACAGCGGGAAAAATGCGGTGTCGTTCCCGTGATTCGAGTCTCTCCGCTTTCCCGTGGAAATGCGATACCCAAACAGAACAGCTTCAGCTATATGTACCGTATCTTCCTCGTTCGATGTCGCCTGAGGAGGTCCTCATCCGCATGCTGAGGGAATCCTGTGCGGTATTCTGTTAGCCGTCATCGACATCTCATATGCGCAAGGCAGATCAATATCATTCGGGAATCTCTTGACAGCTCCAGAGGATTCGGAAATACGAATCTGCTCAGATGCTGCACATTATTTATGGAGGTCCCGCGGGGTGCAATGTGCCGAGTGAACATGCATATAACTATTCAATCTCAATAATACTCGTCCAGCCGCTGAGAATCTGAAGCCGAGTCCTACTATCTTTCTGGGAAGAAAAATATCTCCATCGGCTACATCTAGCGAGGTCCCGTGAGATAGCCGCCTGCTCGCGTGTTCAACTGCTGCCACATTGTCCAGCTCGTCTGCTCGCTCAGTGAAAGAATCGAGGCGCTCTGTAGAGCTGACTCGCTTTATGGGTAAACGCTGGCAAGGAGCGTGACATTCGATACGGTTGATGGAAACAACCTAATATGTCTGAGAGCTGCTGTCGTAAGAATACGCACAAGCAGCGGCGCTTCCCAGCTCCGCTAGTCTCGCTCGGAACATTTTTCCCGAAGACCTGTTTCTGTTGTTAATGCGATGACAGGTGATTACTCTTCCACTTCCCTGCATTCCCAAGCAGTGTGAATTATCCGTATCTCCGCGACTTCGTTGCATATTCGCTGCGGCGCGAGGATTACACAATCGACAGCGCGATTTCGCATAGCTGTCCCCGTGGTACGGGGAAAACGTCCAGTCTCCCGCATATCGGGAGCAATAAAAAGACAGACCCGATGAAAAAGACGGAGCAGGCAGCTCAGGCTGCTGTCATACGGGACGAGAGTCGGAATTCACAATCATAGGAAGTTGCACGACGTCGATGTGAATTCAGCTGGTTGATCCCGAAAGTCGGTTAGAAACTCTTGATTAGGGATGACCGATTGTCTCCCTGCTCGTGGCTTATTGGAGGATTCATTGATTTATTGTATGTCCTCGATCCGGAATCAGGCAGAAGACGGTCCGAGGCCGGATTCGCGGATCATCTGCTGTCAGCTCCGCGATCGTCATCTGCGTCGGATCTCTGATTGACGATTTTTTCTCGAGAAGAACAATTTTTGCCCCCGAACATCTGCTCACCAGTGAAACCCATTCCGACTGGTACTCGTCAGCTGGGGTTGCACACGCTGAGAGTGGGTCTCATTGAAGCGTTTTCTTAGATTCCGGGGGCGTCCCCATGGTTAGAGACCATCAGTGGGGTTAAGGGTGTCGTTGGAATGTTCTCGTGAGTCCGCCCAGCACTACCTCCCGACCAGAAGACTCTCTTCTCGAAACCCCTCGCTCATCTCGACATCCGTTGTTTCTATACGAGTGAGTTGTAGAACTCGATTTCCATCACCATTCGAAGGCAAGAAAATCTTCGTCCGGGAAACCTCGCGGTGCCTCGTCTGGTCTGACGATCCTCCTTGTCGAGAGTGCCGTATTCGGGTCCGAGAAGAGAGCGGTCAACTTCCCACCGCAAAAAAATAATCCCCGAAGCAGAGCTCCCTCACTAGAAGCCGCTTGTGGGGTTCTAGAAGTTTCTAGAACTTCGGTCGGGCCCCAGGTCGTTTTATCCGGGCTTGAGCGATACCTGCGGAGTGTTGCCGGTGCGGGAGATTCGCTGATACGGTATCTTAGGAAGCTGATTGCGAATCTCCCGACATTCTCTGCGTCATCGAATGAACTTTCGAAGAAACTTTCACTATCAGACCGGAAGACTAATCGAGCATCACTCATGAGCAACGGGCCGCGGTTCCAAGCCAGAGAAAACCCCAAGCGACCTTGACAATCGGAAAAACGTGACCGATATCCTCCTCCCGTTCGAGGGTCAAGGTGACACGTGACTCCAAGATCAGATTCACCATCGGGGCGGAGATTTTATGGCGACTTTCTCGTGAGAAAACCCGACGGTGCTTGTAGGCGGGAGGAGCGGCAGCGAGCGCGCGGGCAAGCGGACTTTCGCTGCTGCTTTCCCTTTCCAGCCCCCTTAGATACTGCCGAGCCGAAGCATTCGGCCAGACCTCTTGCATCCGCTCTGTGAGTGATATGGTGTTTGTGGAAGGCCACGATCTGTACCGAATTCGCGCCGAGAGAACTCACTGATCCAGTGGAGAAAAAAGGGTTGCTATTCGTTCCTTCAAGAAACGCGGACCTCGTTCGAATCAGTGTCAGTGATATTGGGCCCAGGTTTGGGATAAACCTCTACCGGCTCATTGAGACGACTCCGTGTGTTCGTGTGATATTTTTTGAACTGTGATCTCGAACCGATCGTTTCCACCGGGAAGATGATGAGCGCACTCTTCCTCCAGTTTTCTCCAGTACCAGATTTATATTGGGATGAAGTTCTGAGCAGAGGGGTGACATCCCATGGCAATGTCTTCGGTAAGCATTCTCAGTTCCTCATTCATCGTCTATGCGGTCGAAACTTGTCACAAGTTGGCTAGCCTCGAGTCGAGCAACGACTCTAGTTCAGTAACGAGTCCCGAGCCTCCAGATGCTGCGGCTCCTTGTCCGATTGACGCGCGGTCTCCAAAAGCAAAGCGATGAAGCGACTGAGGTCATTGTCTGACCTCGAAATTCTCACAAAGAGTTGGCAATCTGATCGTCTTCCGAGAGACATTCAAAGAGAACAGCCGCTACATATGAATGTTCACCTGTCGACGCGTCATCGTGGCAGGCGCCCGCACCGTCTGGCTCCCCGGTCGCTGTGACGTCGGTTTTACGTCACCGTGAGCAGTCATGACGTCGTAGACTTCGGACAGCGATTGTCGAGTGCCGGGGCTTCCAACGGAATTGGTCGACTTGCTTAGAAAGCTATTGACTCTTAATCCGCAGAGGTTTCTCTTGAGACTTCCGAAGCCCAGCGTTCGGTTTCGAGAGCTTTCGCTCCTCTGTCTGATCTCTTAGAACATAATCAGAGAAAGCGAGATGCACTGTCTGATTCCAACTCACAGAGGAGGGGGATTCCCCGATGTTGCTGAGCCGCTGACGCAGCGCTTCGCCTTTTCGCGTATTGACTCCACTTATCTCGGCACATCGAATTCTGCGTCGTTCTTCTGGGTATCGCGAGACGTCTCGTCGCCTAATTGTTCGTTCCGCGGAGCCACCGGGCGACTGTACGGAATCATCGGTTTCGGCTCTCATGCGTTGCCTACTGAGCACTTGTCATTGGAGCGTGATTGCGAAATTCTTTTCGTCACACAATCGAAATCCCGCATTAGGGCATTCGACGACGGCAACGGCGCGTGACCGCTTCTGTCCGGAGATCACCGCGACACGTGGAGGCTCCGTGAACTTATGATATTGTTCGATTTACCGATCGACTCCATCGGCATGCTGAGAGCTAAGCGGCAAATTACTCTCATCTTCCATGAGTTCCTCACCACCACACCCCAGGACGCGAAATCTGGAGTTGTCCCACTTTGATCCAGAGATGATTGCGGAACCTGTAGCTTTGCTCAAGAATTTCGAGGCTCCTTGTACCTCCGACCCGAAGCCAAGTCCAAGAGAAATTTCCACGCGACCCTTCCCTTTTGATGGGCTCAAATGATCTAAATTGCTAGCTGGTCCTGCGGAGCTCATTCCCTGTTTCTGGGCACGCCGTCCGAGGGCTCCCAAGGACCTTCCGCGCTCACGGCGCTGTCTGAGAGACAGAATCGATTCTTTCCTGATACCTTGATCGACTCAGATCTACCGGCGTGGATAGTTCGGGTTCTGGTCGCCATGCAACGACCCTGCAAACACTGGATATTCTGGGATAGGTACAATGTCACCTACATCGAACACATGATCTTTCTCAAGGCATAAGTGGTCCAATTAATTTCCAGGCGAGGACTCATTAGTTCCGGATGATTTCACTGAGGCTGAATTTCGGGAAGGAATCTGGTGGCGACATCTGGTTTCAGGAGGAATTGCTGGAACAGTTTCAAGAACCTGCACGGCACCTCTGGACAGAATCAAGGTTAGTATGTTTATCCCGAGTCTCCGAGCGCGGAGCCGGAGCTCCGAGGTTTGCCACGGACCCCCAAGTGTCGGCTCCTGTGAGCGGTGAAATGTCGGGAATCGAAATCACTCCGTCATAACGCGAGCGGCGTCGGCGAGGGCCGCTGGTTACCGTCTGGAAAGTTCTTTTAGTTGCGTCACGCACATGTCGAATTGAGCGGACCCGGAACTGCGGGGCGGCTAGTAAGCAGACGAAGGGAGAAACAGAACGTTAGCCTACTCCGAAGCGGAAAATCACTGTCACAGCGGTTCCGGTCACCGAATCGAATTCATAGATGTCGGTCGTCCTGACAGCGCACTAGGCTCACAGTAAAAATCAACCTCTGGACCTCTCAGCGGTTGTAGGATCATGAAATGAGGTTTCCTTATCGCTGACCGGTGCTTGGTCGTAGTGCAAAGACCACCTTAATCTGCCCGCAAAGGTGCTTCTCTTCTTGGGGAACCTCATCGGCGTGCCGCTCAATTGCATCTCGATTAGATCTGGTTTTTCTGCGCAAAACGATTGGTGGGCAGCCAAAGATAACAATTCAGCAATCCTTTCACCCGTCAGACAACCGTCACATTCTAACATTCCGGAACGCGGCGGAGAAAAATGGGGAATCCCGGAAAACGCAGCTGGCGGCGGCGGCTTTGACGCTTCGCGGAACTCTGTTTCGTGACTCATCATTCGAGACTGATTTCCCTTTGTATTCCAGGTATTCCTCCAAGTTCACGGGAAAGAATGTGGTACGGTTAAAAACTGTTACAAGCAAATGATAGCAGAGGGCGGACGGAAATCATTATGGAGAGGGAATGGCGTGAACGTAATGAAAATCGGTCCAGAGTCCGCCATCAAGTTCCTAGCATACGAGAAGGCCAAACAAATCATTCGGGTAAGTCTCGAGTCGTTGTCGAAAGCGTCCTCGTTTACCGAAGCTCCAATCGAATCAAGATCACGTGACCGGAAAATTCCATGGGATTGTTGCGGGAGGCGGCTATCGATCGACGAAAGTTCACCTGTCAGTCTCTTCTTTCAGGGCGATGAGCAGAGGGATGTCACACCAATGGAGAGATTCTGCGCCGGTTCCATAGCCGGCTCGACTGCGCAGACGATCATCTATCCGATGGAGGTCTTGAAGACACGATTGGCTCTGAGGAAAACTGGACAGTATAATGGGATTTTCGATGCCGCACGCAAGATATTCCGTCAGGAGGGCCTCTCTTCATTCTACAGGGGTTATGTGCCCAATCTGCTCGGTTCGTACCACCTAACCAATGCATCCGCTGTCCAGCACAGCTCTGGATTCACTTGGAGCTCAGCTGTTCTCTGGAATGCGGGACAGCTGAGTGCTCGTATGTTCACTCATGACAATCAAAAAAAAGATCTCATCCATCGTATCAGATTCGCCACCAGCCTCTGGCGCATTGAACTACCGACCTAATCGCGAACTCTCTTTTGGCAGGAATCATTCCGTATGCCGGCATCGACCTCGCCGTGTACGAGACGCTCAAGAAGCTTTACATAAGTGAGCGGGGCTTGAGCGAGGATCCCAGTGCATGGGTCATGGTCGCTTGTGGCACAACATCCTCGACTTGTGGTCAAATCGCGAGTTATCCCCTGGCGTTGGTCAGGACACGGCTACAAGCCGCCGATCCCTCACTACCTCGGCACTCATTTGGGAAAATGCTGTACGAGATTGTCGTCAACGAAGGTCCCCGAGGACTCTATCGGGGGATCGCGCCGAACTTCATGAAAGTCGCACCTGCAGTTTCTATCAGCTACGTCGTATACGAACACGTGCGGAAGGCCCTCGGAGTGGAAATGACGTGAACGCTCCGTATAAGTGTCCGTAACTGAAGCGTATGTTAATCTCTCGAATGTTCGTCGGAATATCATTGTTCGTATACTTTCTGCCGCATTATTGTGCTAGCATTATCAAGAATTTGAAAGTCAGGTCGCGAGGCTGATCGCTTCGACAAGTGCTGTGATATCGACTCTCTCTAGTACATTGCCCAGGACCTCCGGTCCTAGAGTGCTCTGGGAGATAATCGAGAAACCGATTGAAGGTTCTGCTGGTTTTTGAACGTATCTTGTATAAGTTCGGCGACAGAATGACAGGCCGAATCCTGAAAACGTCCTCCCGCGATTTAGGTATCATCATCAACTAATTTAGTACATAAACAATCATCGCGATGAAGCTCTGGAAGACAGACGCATGTAGGAGACGAATGGATTCGTGGAGGAGTCATCCGACGGCGGGGAATTTCGTGATAGATAGACGAATTTTTCGACACGGAACAGAAGCTTATTCAGCTTTGCCAAAGGATTTGCTAATTGCAAAATATCACGTGATTGCTTTTTTTATATCGGAAACCGTCGCTACGGAGCTGATCCCGCGAGGACTCTACGATCGCTACTGTGCGCGGCTCTTTCGGCATGTTTCGCTCTTCGAACAAACTAGTTCGATTGATCTAAATCTAGACAAACGAGAAGAGATATCACCTTCGCTCGGACGAGATGCGCGGAGAGCTTCATCGTTGCAAGGAGAATGATCGAAGTGATGGACATCGTAGAATAGGAAAATTGGTGGAAGTCATCTCTCGTTGATGAACCTCCTTATACACGGGTTTCGCGCCAAGGTTTCTGTCAGCGAGAAAGCTCTAAGTTACCATATTGCTTGCCCGATGGCGAATAAAACTGAACGTTTCGAAATCTCAATCTGGTAATCTTCACTCGAAGCGCCCCCACAATAAAAAATCAAGTTCTCTCAGCGTCTAAAAGGCCGATGATATTTATCACTCCTATGCTACTGGATTGTGCATAGCTTGATATATTATTGACATCGATATATTCCGGGCGAAATCACTCGGCGGATTCAAAGGAATTTCGAGATCACACAATCTTTAAAAATGTACATTTACAGCGCCCGTCGATTGAAGTCAATGTTGCAGCAATCGAACGCCTTCGTGGCTTGAGGCGACGCTCAGTCGCGGTAAGATCGGCATCGAACTCAACAGATTCGTCAGGCTGAAGTCGTTTTCCTGCAAGCAGAGAGTAAAGACTACCTCAACACGCTCGGTCAAGCTTACTCGCCCGTAAGTCCTTGCGTACCGCTCCAGACTGGTCTCTTCTTCATAAGGCCCTTTCGTGTTCTAATCAAATGAGAACTCCCCGCAATCGTGGAGCGACCCCGCCAGTCTCGTCTGTCCGTCGTGGGGGAAACTTATACGCCCAAATTTAGTCTGCAGCGACCACGGTCACTATAGGAGCTAAAAATGGAATGTGCTGACATGCCATTCTACAACAGCCTCACCTCAGAGTCAATGCTGGAACATTCTCCGTCGTCGGGAAATATTATCTCCGGATTCGAGCTGTCCAATACCACTTGCACAGAGCTGAATAGTTCGTCGACGTGAGCCATGTCGACGATTTCCGTGACCGGAGTCCCGATGTCCTCCTGATCAGACAATGGTCGGGAACAGCAGTTCAGGCAGAAGTAGCAGAAGAGCGACCTTGGAGGGCAGTGCGTCTTAAATGGGGTTTCCAGCAAATCATGAGCCTCAATTCCAGGAATTTTTGCGTCGGAGATCTCGGAACTCACCTCCCGCCCCCTTCCTGACGTCGACAGAACTCTGCATAGCATGCGGTCCCCGCGCAGGAGAATAGAAACGAGATGATGATCAGCAATCCGAACGTATCGAACCACGGGATGAATATGACCTGGAATGAAGAAAAATTCATGGCGATACTAGGGATTTAAGTCCGAAAGCCGAAGTCTGGTCGATTAACGTTTCGATCGCTGAGACATCTGTTTGAATCATATCCTCACTTCCGATTTCAGGGTCGTCTCTCCTTAGACCCGCCGGATTCTTTGTCACCGTCAGACATTCCGTGAGTTTCTTACCATGACGAATTTCAGGAGATCCATCGATACATTGATCGAATACTGAACACCGTTGATACAGCCGCGTTCCCCATCATCGACTAATTCTTGGAGCAGCTGATTGACGGCCAAATCCGCGATCCACAATCCTAGTTGATGACCATTTAAAATATTATTCGATAGGGATACGGCTCTCTGAGTGAAAATGCTCAGGCAGTGTATGCTCTGAATTCTTACCGAATCTCGCGAGACACATCCCCGCCACGAGCATGACGACCGAACGATTCGCCCCGAGCGATAAATCGTGCGGGGGATCTTCGAGCAGCGTATCGTTGACGAAGTACATCGTGGCGTTGTTGAGATTTCCCGTGATGTCAATCTCTCTCCGGATATCGAATCCTAAGGTTCGGGTGAAGTTGTATACAGCGTCCCCGAAGAGTCTGTGGATTAACTGAATAGCTGTCTTTGGAGAGTTGTCATTCGTCGATGCTAATCCCCAGAATTGTGAGCGGATCGATTCATAAGTCCATCAGAGAGAATCGATCACCTGGTCAGCATGGGATCGAAGGGACTTCCTTCGACGAACACGGAGGCGACGCAGAGTGTTATACAGGACACCAATAGAACGAATCCGAAGAGTCCTGTTCGCTCTAATCCTATTCGCCTTCGCAACCAGGGATAGGCAAGAGTTCCACATACTCCCACGAATCCAGTCCCTGCTGAGACGATACCAACGGCCGCTTCGGAGATCCCTTGTTTGTAGATATACCCTGCGAGAGGAGGAGCGAGCCTGCGAGTCAGATCCGGAGAACTCGGAGCTTTTCAGCATTTCGCGATTGATTAATCCGCCTTCTTCCCGGTTAGGAAATTCGATCAGTACACGATTCCCGCCGATTTCAAAACGGTTTGGAGTGAAACGAAATGCATTTTTGAAGTCAATCGTTAGTAGGCTCGACAGCATCGACATCGGTGTGTCACATTTCCTAAAATTGGACTGAGGCAGATGATGAGTTGTCAAATTATCCTAACCGACTGTAATGCTGTCGAACATCAGGACTGTCATGAATGTCAAGGCCAAGCCCAATCCGGCGAAGCACACCGGGTGCTGGAGGAAACGGATCCAGCCGCCGAGATAATCTCGAATTTTGTAGCGGATTCGTTGACAGGGTCGCATGTTCTCATCTACGAGAGAAACACGAACGGGTAATGAGCTTGTCCTACGAGTGACATCTTGGCACTGGGGGAAAACGGGCCGGTGAACTCACATGCTCCGTGGGAGATATACTTCATGGCGAGCACGGGCACGTTCACATAGAGGTCTAACAGGAGTCGATACTCGAGGTATACGCTAACGAGATTCCATGCCGCGAGGAATACAGCTCCCAGGGCGAGAGACCTTGCCATGATTTGGCCGACGAATAAAGGGGCCAGGAGCTTCGACACCATGTCGATTCGACGGACCATTGCGTTCATGACTGAAATGGGAATATTCGTTCAATTCCGAATTTACATGATTCAACGTTGAATGATCCTATAGTCCATTCCAAGCATTTGCCGGACACCCGATATGGAGGTTGCATCCAATCGGATCGTAAGCATGAGGAACATCAGAAGCTCACCCGCGAGCTTCTCACGGCTGCCGTGCGCCAAGACGATCAGCCAATCTTTCTCCACGCATATGATATTCGCGAGGGACCCGAGACGACTCAAAACCGCCATAGCTACCACCAGGCCTTGGCCGGCGATCTCGATCCAAGCGTCATGGATATTCGTCTTCAGTTGAGTCTCGAACATCATTACCATGCAGAGGAACGTCGCACACAGAACCACGGTCGCGTTCTGGAAACCTAAAGACATCTTTGCCGCTGAAAATATTCTTCGCGTTATCAACCGATCACCTCGTAGCGCCAGAGTCGATACGAGTGTAGGTTCGAGAAGTTTCCGGCTACTTCCGAAAAAGTCGGATGGCAACAGCAACGGCTGGGAATTCCAACTCATTCGCATCCGGAAACTCACCTTTCAGTCTTGCCGTCTTGTCTACCCAACGGCCTATAGGTGCACCGAACAAAATGATTGCGACTGAAGCACTGAAGCCGTAGATGGCGGCTAGCCTCAATGAGTCCGGGTACAGTTTAATATAAAAGAGTCCCACCGCGAACGACCACATGTTATCACCCCATGAAGACAAAGCACGACTGAGGTAGAGCTTCGTTGTGTTTCGCCACCGTGGCTTACTACCTCCTTCACAATCTCCCCTAGCATCCGCTCGCCGAGCTCTCCTGGAATGAAGACACGGAACATGGACAATCACTCGACATCAGAGACGGAGCCGCGTCGGAAGAGCTTCCAGGATACACAGGTGCAACTTTCCCCCGTGGGCTCCGTCATGCGATGCCGTTCGGGTAATTCAAAGCCCCGCATAAAATGCTCACCGGTTCTCTTTGTCGATCCTCCTGCCCCGCGGATGTTTGTCGAGACTTCGGTTCCTCCGCAGTGTGCCACCGGAGCTTGGGCCATCGTCATCCACTTCCCGGAAACTGGTCTTCGTGTAACGCGGCATGGCCTCCGAGGCTCCTCCGGTGACAGAGAAAGATCCCGCTCAGGACTCGAGAGCTCCTGCGAAGCGCTGAGCTGTCAATGATCACCCATCGCGGCGTGAGTCCGCAGGTATCGCATGCTGGCTCGACAGCGAGCGCGAATGAAGGTTCTGCTGATAAGCGTCAGAGGTCCACAGACGAATTCGCAGAAGAGCGGAAGGTCCAGCACGAAGGATGATGCAGAGCCCTTCTCCTGAGTTATTTCAGGAAACTCATCGATTGAGGTCTTGCTGCACAAACAAACGCTCGCACACTTACATACCCACTAAGTCACTCGACTCGTGCCAGCTAGCGAGTTTGCCTTCTCAGACTGTACTCTTCACTAAGCGACCCGCAAGCTTGGGCTCTCACATGGTTGACCGTCGTGAGATAGATAATCAATCTAGGCTCTTGGAGGAGGCTTCAAGCCATTAGGTTGTTGTCCCTGGTTCCAAATTACACGAGTTCATCACCAATCCATTATTTCACAAATAGAGCAGGAGGATGTCCTACGATTAGCTCGCAAGGAAATTGAGGAAAGTTACACCTGTCGACTTGATCATCGCCGTCGAGCCCTCCAGCAAGGAGAGAATGCCATACAGAGAGTCAGTAGAACCGATATGGCAACGACTTTATTGGCTCAACGAAAGCAGGATGGTCCCAGCGGGTCATTTTCAATATGCATGAAGAGCGTTTCCGTAGCCGTATCCGTGTCCCGTATACAATCCGTGGGACCACGCGCGTCCTGAGAGTTGACCGTTCCTGTAGGGCCAGGCATCCCCCCCGTGGATTCCATCGTCTAGATATCCCGCCGATGCTCCCACGAGTAGAAGACAGAGGAAGGGAGAAGGACGCACCGTGGGCGGGGGAGAATCGATCGCGAAGGACAAAGATGGCATTCTACAGACGAAATCATGGAGATGAGCTCCGAATGGTCATCTCTTCTCAAGCTCTCAACCCACCACGATCGATTCATATCGATCGGATGCTCGATACCGGACTGATATTGCGCAATTAGCGCCAGAGTTATATAAGCAGTCTCGGTCTGCATTTGGATCGGAGACCGAGCGAAGGCCGAATTCAACAGAGCGGAATTTCGATCCCTCTCCGTAATGACTTTCCAGCCTCGTGCTCGAGAGGGTGGATTGAGGCAAACAATTCCCGACAGCTCATGGGAAACGAAAGAGTTCTGTGCACAGCAGTTTTCTCCGGGCGCACAAGCTAGACCGATTAGGCGCGAAACCGATCGCGTCTTTGTTAGAAGAAAAAGTGATTTCGAGCAGGGGTGAGTGTCTCATCGTGGACTGCCACAGAGTTCCGGATCATTCGTCTGTCAACATCTCAAGATGTTGACGCCCAACGCCAGCAAATCGCTTACTCATGCATGTCCTACTCCGATTTCTCAAAATCATATCGACTTCCATTCCCCTTGACCATTCCGGATCCATATTTGTTTATTCATTTTCCATCCCTCGATTGAACTCATGAAATTCGTCACATTCGTCATTCACAAGTCGTGGGTCTCGCCGTAGATCTCGATGCTGATTATTTTTCTGGAGGGTCTCCCAGGAATCAGTCGCAGGAGTTCATTCTTTGGCAGCATAGGGCTTATGGGTCATTTATGAGAAGGTCGGTATTTTAGAATCAATTAGGGCTCCAGACAATTCGGAGACAGACTGAGCACTTCCATCGGTATGGCCCTCGCTTGGACGTCCGACTATACAAACTCGAGCGCGCCCATTTTTTACAATAAATTACCGTCGCCATCACTAATCGAATTCGCCTATCCAGAGCAGTCAAGTGGTCATTCGTGAGAAGGGGATATAGGGGATCGCTGCGCGTGATCCGATCGACGCTGCTCCCCATATGATCCACAAAGAGAGACAGTCGTTGATAAGTTGAGTTGCGTAGTCTGAGAACGATGCGAAAAAAAAATTCGAGATCAGGTAGGATTAGTGATGGTCTTCGTTTTTCAGCTCTGAATAAAATGCTTGGGCTGACTACTCACAAACAACATTGGTAAAGCGGAGCCAATATGGAGAACTCGTCGGTTTGCGGATCGCCGAAGCTGGAAAACGGATGAGAGATGTAGATGGGACCCCGATAAGAAATCAAGCAGCTTCCGAATGTACGGGAGAGCACCCCCGGTCCCCATCGCAGGCTTTCAATTCATGGGAGTCTCATCGGAGGATTTACCTTTTCCCGTTGTCAAGGAGCAGAATAATACTGTCCGGGTATCCCTGGAGAGTTTCGAAGTGATGTCGGTCTGCGTTTTGAGTTAGGAAATCGAGTATCGAATTATCGATGAGATCCAGAAGCCGACGTCCCGAAGACTCGGGGGAAAATCGAATTTTCTTGCAGAAGTGCGGATCTGTTTCCCACCTGTATTGTTATGACGCAACGATTAGACTATTGTTCGGCTCTTAGATCGAGTCTCACGCTCTCGGGAGCAGCACGGTGCGATTCTGTATCGTGGAGGCCTTAGCACAGCGGTGGACAGCTTAGTCGACTTTCAGCTTTGCACCAAGTAGTTCGAGAGAATGTCGGCGTTACATTGGCGGATGCGTTCCCCCGGAATTCGACGATCCTCGAGATGAGGCATCTCTGCACGTCGGGCGAGATCCGGGTCGAAATCTTGAGCTGCGGGGCCAATAGTGCTCTCCGATTCAAAGCCATCCGATTCAAAATTTGGCGCGCTCCGGGAAATTCCATTGAAATCAGCTGTGCGGATGCACCGCATGAACAGAACCATGCGCGAGTGGAGCTCTGTCAATTCTCGGGAATGTTGGTCTCTCGCAGTTTTCTCTTGCCGTTCCACGCGCGCCGCGGTTTCGCGATCGACATATTGGCGAACACCTCCTTGTACCTCCGGGGAAGAGCGTCAGAGAAAAAGCGATCCTTGGTATTGCCGTACTTCGACCTAGTGAAAATCGTAAACAATGCTCCTGGTGAGTACCGGAACACGAGAATCTTCTCAACGAGTCTCTAAGAGAAGCATGAAAGCTCAAGCTCTCGGGAATATTCTATAGCTTCTCTTTCATTTTTCCTAAACACCAGAAATCGAACGTCAAGCCCAGCTGAGAGGGCGCATCCTGGATCTCTCTCCTCTGCGCGACGCCGCTCGGAACTACACGGTCATTCGCAAGGAGCTCATGAGACTCGAGGCTGAAACGACAAAATTAGATCTTGAGGAAAGGAGGACCCGTGATATAGCCGTAACAGCCAAATTGAGAGAGGTACTTCTCCTGACTCCTCCTTCAGACCGAATTCCCTCAAGCTCATCAGGGGATCGTCCTCCTAGCCGGCGTTATTATGTATCCGATGGGAATCCCGGGTTTCCAATCATACCCTTCTCCTTTCCAGCTGCGAGCTGTCTTGCGGAATGTGAAGAGTGAATTCTACAAAGTAGACACAATTTGTGCGCCCCTGCTCCTCCAAACGCCGAACATGATATTGACGAAAAACATCGAGCCGATTACTTCGCTTTGTAAAACTTACGTCCCACCGCGTGATCTCGGATTCGAACCGAAGAGCCACGTGGAATTAGGGGGCCGTAATCTACAATTCATGAATCAGACACTCTGCTATCTTTTGGAAGACCTCGCGGGTCTCGAACAGAGAATCTGCGATCTGTTCATCGACAAACTAGATCAGACAGGCCGCACGCCCGTGTCAGGGCCCGATTTCGTGGTCGACACGATTGTTGAAGGCGCTGCCACAGACAACAATATAATTGTAGAAGATCAGGAGAGCGGTGGACACCAAATGCATCTCACTGGGGGAAGCAGTCTAGAGGCCTTCTGTGCCCAATTCGTCCGGCTGGACACCGGAACGGAACTCATGCGGCAGTACGCTTGCGCTCGCTTCTATCGGGAAGGAAGCGTCGAAGGAGGTCTCTACACGCTCTCGCAGTCAACGAGGGTCTCCGCGTTCACAGGCAAGACTTTCTGCTCGTCTCGCATCATTATCGCGACGCATGTGTATATCAAAAGAGATTCTGCAGCAATAAGCGCGACGCGGTAGAAAAAGAGCATAATGAGATGACATTGAAATTTCAGGATCTGATAGGGAAGTTCTGGATGATGTCCACGAGCTACTTCGCCTGCTGGTCGAAGTCTACGCTTCTCTGGAAATACCTTTCCGGTTGCGATTGGTCGATCCGCCGGAGCTGTCCTTCGTGGAGCAGCTTCGGGTGGATCTGGAAATATGGAGTCCTTTCGAGAAAACTTGGAAGCCGGTTGCCCACGTCGCCTCTCACGGACAATTTATCGCTAGCCGATTGACAATGGTGAGACATTCCTCCTGATAATTTCCTTAAATTGCTGCTCCTTCCGACAAATCGATACCGAGCCCCAGTAGGTACAATAATTACGCACCCTATTCGACAGATTTCGAGAGGGGAACCCATGTTCACAATGTTCGGGGTTTGCGCCGACGCTCAGAGGATCATCGGGCTACTTTTAGAAAACCATCAGAATCCGGACGGTACTTATTCAATGCCTAAGCACCTAGTGACCTGCTGACGGATCTAGGAGATTTGGATGGGCTCATGACGGTGAGGTGACGAGGAACTCCAGCGAACTCACCTGGCGTATGTGCCTTTCCGATACGTGCGTTGCCACGGGCTCCGATGATTCTGCAGGACGTATTTTTTTGGCAGCAATAAGACGACGGCACCCTCGATAATGCCAGATGTTCCGCAGACACCGCTGCTCCGTTTACAGTAGCGACATTTCCCAAAGAAACACCATTCATCTCCTGAAATTAGGAATGTGTTCAATAAAAGCTGAGCTGGACTCCTCGAACCCTCCCTCGCTCCGCCTATTTTCGTACGTCAGACATCACGACAGATTCCCGACTCCTACAATGTATGTAGTATGTGCGATCAGAATCCGTGTTTTAGTCCGGATATTTTCTCCCACCTTCTCGGTAGAAAGTTCGCTCCAGAACCTGGGTGCTGATATTTCTGAGCTCCTCTATATTTACTTTGCGCCCTGCCACCAAGGGACAGCGATTGAACCCTAGAAGTCGCCCTATGTGGAAGGCGGCAATTTCCCCATTGTGCCGATCGGCCCCGGCATATGGTTCACCATGGATGACGTGGTCCCTTGAGTAACTGGAATCGAGCATACTTAGCAAGAGAGTTTTCTTAATCGAATCAAGGAGTGATAATCCAAGGATCGAAAAAACTCACAATTGAGGCTTGAAAAAGACCTCCTGGCCGTCCTCGAATGTTAGCTTGAGCTTCAGTTGAGTTCCTCTGTCCGCGACATCCGCTCTGATGATCTTCGTGGAGCTCAGATCCTTCAGAACTTGCCCCAGTTGTGGCTCTGCGGGTGGAATGATATGCCTAGTGGGCTCAATCCATCCTCCGGCCAACTCCCAGGGTGGTTTCGCTTGCTGTCGAGGAAAAACATGTCGACATTCTCGTCGGAACACGGTGACCAGGGTTTACCATGGAGAGACAGAGTTCGCGTTCGTCATGGAGTCATGTATGAGCAAAGGAAGGAATTCTTCAGGAATAAATGAAGCGAAACATTGCACGCGATCACAGACCTCCATAGTTTCCGACGCCATCAACTCCTGCTCGTAAGTTCGTAGAATTCGCTCCCTCGTCATGTTCACATGGATGAGCTTCACTCTTGCGCCACCGGACTGCTGGTCGACTCTGATCTTGTGGACGAGACTCTTGACTCGATCGCTCAGAAGTCGCGGTTCGAGAACGTTTGACGGCATGATCTATGGTATCGAAAGGTTAACAGAAACAAGAGCAGGATGCGCTATCACGAGAGGCAGCTAAACGAGGCTCACGGGACATGAGCCGTACTTCATCGGAAAATTTACCGGTATAGATTTCTTGTGCGCTGGAACTTTGAGGCCTCTTCGGAGGTCAGTCTTGGCGCGACTTCGAACATACTGCTTCTCGAAGTTGTCGAGCCCGGACAATAAGTATAGCAGCATCAGGAGACACAGAATAGCGGTCACAGAAGTCAAGCGCCGAATCGAGTACATCTGTAATTTCGGGCTGGTCCTAAGAACTTCATGAGAGCTCCTTCAGTCCTATTCTTGCCAGGACCGGGGAATAGGCGGAAAATTTCTACTGACCTCCTCGCAGCTCGTGCTGCTCCGAGGACCGGTGAGGGGTCCACCGACGACAGATGTCAGCTCACATTCTCAAAATCATTTCCCTGAAGCCAAGTCAGCTGTTCGACGAGAACCCACTCGTTCGATTCCATGTCATTCGAAAGGACCGCCGAATTCGAGCAGACGAAACTTCTGACATAGGAAAGGACCCTTGCTTGCTTGCTTGATGTGGAGTTGAGTTGAGGGCTTCCTCGGTGGAAGATCGACAGTACGGTTCGATGGGATGGGGTCTAGAGCGTGAGCTCTCCAGATTCCGGTGATTTGTACGCCCTCGCTTTTGTTTCAAGTCTCGAACCGCATCACGACGAGGGTACTCACTCTCTGATTTTGGGAGAGAGTACGTATGCCCAGTCGCGAGGTAAATAAAACACACGTGTTCTTCCGAAGGTTGTTAAATTTTTCGTTGCTAGACATTCGAGAAGTGAACGATCCACCGGGATATTCCTCAGGATTCGAGGTGTGTTGCGATCGCCGCTCGGGCTCTCCGCGTCATTCAACGACAACTCGGGGTTATGAGAGAGTTACCGGCGCTGTAGCTGGGGCGCATGGAAGCAAAAAAAATCGGCGACTTCACCTAATTGACTCTCCCTCAATCGCAGGAGAACAGGATGGGCGACAAGGCCGGAGCCAAGACCAAAGGAGGAAGTATATCGAAACCCTTGGAAAAGGTTCGTCAGTGCTCACGCTTGATTTACCGAGGTCTTTCTCCATCATTTAGTTTCATGTGTCGAGATCGTTGTCATGTCTGTGTATCGATTTCTGCTGCAGAATTCCTCAAAGAAAAAATCGCCCGTCAAGCGTCCGGCTGAAAGAGCGACGGGTCCGCCTGGGAAACTCAGGAAAGCATCCGATGGAGAGAAATCGGTGACGAAGAGACCCACCCTCAAGACTATGGTCGGAGACGGGAAAAAGATCACGGGCAAAATATCATTGAAAAAAGATACAGATGGTCAGAAATCCATCGCGAAAAAAGCTACAGGGGCTCAGAAGCCTTTCATGAAAAAAGGAGCTGAAGGTCAGAAATCATTCACGAAGAAGGGGCCTCTGGGCAAGAAACCGTTTGCGAAGAAGCCCTTCGCGAAGAAAACCGGGAAGAGCGACGAAAAAGGCTCCTCCGATGAAAAACCGAAGTGGTTCGAGATGAAGAAGAAGGACCGTAAGAAGGTAGGCCACGCACAGCCTGTGGCGCGATTCTTCCATCTAGATGATCGAAAATTGAGCGCTGGGGTTCTAATTAGGGGCGTGCTTTGCTACTTAGATGCGTCAACAGCAAGACAACAAGTTCTACGTGCTGCAATGCAGCGCCAAGAAAATCTGGGAAAAGCTGCGGAGATCGGATGTTCGTTCTGAGGAGCGAAACCAGCTCGCGATGGAACTGCATAAGTTACTCAAGGGTAATATCGTCAACGTTGCGGAAGCTCACGACACCTCCAGAGTTGTCGAATGTCTCTACACTAACGGAAGTCCTGAGATAAAGAACTCAGTTTTTGACGAGATCAAGGTGAGATGAAGGACGATTCCTCTGATTGTTCACCAAGTGAGTCTTGGAAACCAAGTTTTCGTATTCTCCTTGGAATTCCGAACCTCATTCCCCCTATCCAGGACAAAATAATGCATTACGCCAAGTGCAAGTATGCGAAAAACCTCATAATGGCCTGCCTGCGACACGGTAGCCAAGCTCACAAAGACGTCATCTACAAAGCGGTGCAAACTCGGGTTCCGGACTTGTTCCTGCACAAGGAAGCCGCCCAGATCATCTCCACCCTATACGAAGACGTCTGCAATAATAAGAAGAAAGCTGAAATGGCTCAAGAATTCTATTCGAAAGAGTTGGTCTATTTCAAGAGCGAGACGGCGACGACCTTCAAAGCGGCTTACGACAATTGCACCGAAAAGTTGGCCAAAGAAAACATGCTGTCCGAGTTCAAGGTTAGAGCAGATTCCTGCCCGTATCCGACGGAAGGGAGCGTGTTCCGGTCTTGAGTCATACTCGGAGATTCCTGGACTTCGATTTCTTCTTTCAGGAGACACTCGTCAAGCTGACCGACAAAGGAGTGATCAAGTACGGACTGTACCATATGCTTCTGCAACAGCTGTTCGAAGTGCTCACTGACAAAGCCGATCGACTGGACATGATTAAACAGATCCAACACATACTCGTTGAGATTTTGCACACGAAGGAAGGAATGCAGGTCGCGCTCCAATGTATCTGGCATTCGGGCGCCAAAGAACGAAAAGCGATCGCGAAATCGTTCAAACAGTTCGTCAACAGAATCGCCACCGATGATCAGGGTCACAAGGTCAGTACTTCCCGAATGTCGCTGCTGCGAACGAGACAAGTCGAGGGGACGATTTCTCATGTGATATTCCTCTGCAGGTCCTCATGGGATTGTTTGATGCCGTGGATGATACCGTCATGCTGAATCAGAATATCATCTCAGAACTCGTGAAAAACCGGAACGAGCTCGTGAAACATAAGTTCGGAGTGAAGGTTTTCGCCTATCTGATGATGGGGAGGAATCCCTGCGTGATTACACCCGACACTATCGAGCTATTGAAACAAGGAGATGGCAACGAGGACTCGAAAAAAGACCCGGAGCTCCGTCGGAAAGAACTCCGAGCGATCGTCCAGCAGCCCCTGATCGATGCGATATGCGAGAACTTCGAAGAACTCTTCGGGGAGGGGGAGGTCTCGGTCGCAGTCGGGGAGATCATGATTGCCGCGGACGAAGACTTCCGGCGGAAAGCGTTCCTCCGAGTCGTCGAACACCTGCAGGTGCCGTATGAGAAGAACGCTGAAAATCACTTTATCGAGAGTAATCACGGTCACTTCCTCCTCAAGAAGCTGCTCTCGAGCAACAAGCTTGAAGGAAAGTCTTTCTTCGCAAGAATTCTCATGGAGAACCTCCGTGAGGACGCGCTTCGGTCTTGGTGGAAATGCAACCGTGGAGCCTTTTTGAGCGTTCGCCTACTGGAAGTCAAGGATGAAGAAGTGAAGTCCTGGGCGCAGAGTCTCCTCTCGAAAGACAAAGCCGGGATCAAGAAGGAGAAAAGCAAGGGAGCGGAGATTTTGCTCGAGAAATTGTAGAGTTCCTCCTGACTGTACATATAAATTTCAATAAAAAAATAATTGAAGCGAGAAAAATCCAAATCAGAGCTGAAATCCGTGGAGGACGTCAAAGCCTCGTCCCATGAGCCATTAAAGATAAATATTGTCGATTCTCCCTATGGGAAAGGAACTCCTCTCGCCTCTGCTGCGGCAATCTCTCGCTATGTCGTTTGCCCATCTTAGACTCGGCGCTGAAATTCCGATAATGGGATTAATTGTCCGTAATGACTGAACACACAAGGCCCGGGGGGTGTCGGACAGCCCACGATGCGTGGAAACCCATCGGGGAGTTTATGCCAGCTTCCGTCCACGTCGGAACCACTGCTGCAGGTTCAGCCCTGATATCTGAGTGAGACCCGGAACGTACGCTTTGCGTTCCGTCCGCTGAATTGATTCAATTATCACTTCGCATACTCCCGAATGCTGTGTCGCTAATCCAGCTCTCGGCTCATTAAGAATCCTCGCCCGAATGGGCACGAGAGACCGACGCGACGCTACGACCGAGTCTGGGCTCAGTGTTTTCGGCGAGGACTTCGACTTCCCCACCGATGGATTTTTCGATCATCCATTATAGCCACCGAGTCTGTCTGGTATGTAGCAGGGGCGTAGTCGAGAATGAATTTCCGTCGCTCAGAGCTGTTCGTGGTAAACGGAACGGGACTATTTTCTTTTATTAGGAAAAATACAACCTTCCGCTAATATAAAAGCTATTCATTGAGCTGCCGTCCAGATTTCCTTCGTTTGTTCGCCGGTCTCGGCATCACCAGATTGGCCCATTTCTGACAGGGATCCTTTCCGGGATGTTGCAGCACCTGCAGCGTCTCCTTTCGACGAGCGGTTCGGCGTTGTTTTCGAGAAACCACCGCTAGTCGAGTCGAATATTTTATTCAGAACGTCCTCCGAAAGGAAACTGTTGGCGCCCTCGTTGCAGTCGGCTTCCATCTCTTCCAATTTCCGCAGCGCCGTCCTGACGGAGTAGATAATAATTATCTAGTGAGAAGTCTCTGAATAGGAGCCTGATAATCAGACTCTGACTGCGGCCAATACGACAGACTAACTCTGTGCACAACATCGCACAGGACAGAGCAGTATTATTAGATAGAACGCTGCGGCCTGCGTAGTAGTTAGCAGTTCTTCCCCTAGCCGAGCACCTGTCGTCCGCTTATTCGAGTATACGGCGATACGGATGGCGGTGACATCACAACGCTTCAAGCTCACCTCATTTGCCCGTTCTCCGCGTAGTGCTCTACGATGAAAGCGTAGAGGTCTCCTTTGCGAACAACAGAATTATTGCTCGGAGACTGCAACATCTGTTGAACCTTGTCGAGCGCTTCGCGCACTTCGCCGTCGGTGTAGAGTTTCTTCAATTTCAGGAACTGCTGGATATCTTTTATCTTAGCTCTCAGCGCTTCGATTTTCGTTCCGAGCGCTGTTCCTGAAAGACGGGACGACGACATGACCTAATTGCACATCATAATCCACACGCTCGATCGAGACTCTTTCCGAGAATCGAAAACCAATATGAAGCCACTTACCGATCGGAGCTTCCTTGAGAACCTTGTAAGCCTCGTTGAGAGCACTCAACGCAGTCTCGTAGTTGTGGTACTCTGCAATCTCGGACAGCGCGCAGCTCTCGTAGAAATTGCCGAGCAGTTCCATATCGTTGGCTGCCGTGTAGTACTCGATTATGTGGCGCATTATTGCAGGTTGTGAGCGCCAGTTCAGCGTCTGGAGATAACTGGCCGCCTGCACGTAGATTTCAGGATCGTCTATGGCCTGGGCGAACAGAATCACCTGTCGAGTTGTGGAACGTTCTCAGATAACAGGCGGAGCGAGTCGTGAGAAGACATCTCGGCCGTAAAAGCCCCACGGAGCTCTCACCTTATCGGTATCGTCGCTCTGGATCAAAGCTTTCATCGCGCTGGGGTTATCGCCGGCTTCGGTATACTTTTTCGCAGCCAGGAAGAAACTCTTTTGTTTGATGCAGAACTCCGCAATTCTGTTCAGCAGCTGCGTTCGAGGAACTCCGTAGACTCCCCGGAGCATCTTGTCGGCGAGCGGTTCCGTCAGGTCTACGTCGTACTGCTCGCAGAGATCAAGGGCGGCGTACGCTTGTCCATTTAGAGCAAGGATCTCCACGGCTTGTTCCGTTAAGCCCATGTCTATGAGACGTTTGGTGGCCGCCTGTACCTCAGCCGCATCGCTGTTCGGGGAGATTTCCTGGGCGACTTCGCCAATAATTTCGTCTCCGAGATTCACGGCGTCGCCGGAGAGCTCTCGAGCCCTCTCCAGCCATCCGGCTTTCTGCAACAGTCGCTCGATCCCGTTAGATCCCTTACGCGGCCCAAGCAAGTCTATTGTGAGCGGATCTCGCTTGAGTCTCGAATCGAGAGGAATTCGAATTTCTTTGTCTGTCCATCAAGTTCGGGCCTCTTACTCGGAACGACACGGTGTCTATCTACGAGGACTACACAGCTGGCCTCAGGGTCAGCGGGGAGTTCCCGTCCCCAAAGAGCTGAGCGAATTCTATGCACGAGCACCGACACTCTTCCGACGGCTCTCGCGAAATAGCTCCGCTAAGCAGTCAGTCGAGCTGTCTGGAAGTTGAGGATGAGCCTCCACGTTTTTTTTTCGGGGAACCACCTAACCTTTTCGTACTCGAATCTATTAAACTCGACCAGGATATCCGAAGTCTCGCTCATTACGGTGCCCGACGGCCCGCGTGAAAAAAGGAATAAGGCAACGTCCAGAAGCGAATAGTCAAATCGATCGGTGGGCTGAGCGGTGGGGGGGAGAAGACGACGTTTCTCTCTTCCCGCTTCCGAAATACCTGATAAAGGGTCACCGCGCGCTGGGTCTCTCCACCTTGCTCGAAGTAGGCTGCGACATCCAACATATCCTGGTTGTTCCGACTTTGTATCGCCAGATAGAAGAGCTGGTCATCCATGCTGTTGTCTTTGCATACGCGCAACGCATTCGAAATCGCCCCGGCCTGGTATTCGAGGCACGAAAAGTATCGTGAGGGGTTTATGCACAAGTGTATACTTTCACCCGACGGAGAGAGACCATCTCCGAGAGCTCGTGGGAGAGGAGAAATTTCCGCGGGTTTCCACGGAACGCCGCCGAATATTATACCTTTGAGAAGAAGTGTACGGCGTCCGAGGGTCTATCGATAGATTCCAGGTGCCTGGCGAGATGGAAACACGCGGCACGGTCGCCGACGTCGTTTGCGATTTCCATGGCGGTGTCCACGTTGTTGAAAAAACAGTTTATCCGAACCTAGGAGAGAGAACGAAAACGCCGTTGAATGCTCCGGAAGACTCTCGCTCTCTTGTAAGTGGATGGTGTTTCGATCTGGAGAGTTCGTGAGCTCAACGAGGGAAGAATCCTCGACGGGGGCTCATGACGCTTACCAGACTGACGAAATCTTTTGCCATTTCGTAATAACGCAAGGCTTCCTCCGTGTCGCCCTGACTTTCGAGATACTGCGCCCACCATTTATAGAATTGTGGCTCGCGGCTTTTGACGATGTAAGTCTCCAGTCCATGAATGTCTCGTTCGACGAGCATTCTTGGAACCTGCTGCAGGTGCGTATTGGATTTCTCGTAGTAAGTGATGGCTTCCTGTATTTTGCCGAGCTCTTCGAGATGTTTGGCGTACCTGCATAGGGAGATTCGTCAATGGGAGCTGATTGGAGCCCAGCAAGGAGCCGTGAGACCACCGAGTACAAATTATGGGAGTCTCACCTGAAATAGGTATTTTTGAGGTTGATGCGGCTTTTCTTCTCGGCCAACTCGAGCGCCTGGTCCCACCTGTTGGAGTCGCACAACAGTTTGACGAGCATCCGATGATCTCCGCTGACTTCGAGCAGGTCTTTGGCCTCTTCTATCATTCCGAGGTGGATGGCCAAGGTCGCAACCTGTATAAGTGACGAAGCAGCTGGTTACGACACCCGGCAAGAGAGTGGGGATCTCATTATATTAAGAGTAACTGCTTTTGTGGCTGAACGACCGGCTGGACGGACGGGCGGACGGCTGACAGAAAGACGGACGCACGGACGGATGGATGGACGGACCGAGTGACCGTCTGACTGTTTGTGCCTCAAGAATGATAGAAAGCCCGATCTCCGCCCTCATCTTATTGGCGGCGTAGTTTTCTCTCGTCGACCGGATGGCTGCTCGATGATGTCGCCATCGCAGAGCCTCCAAGGCCCACTTAATGCAAAGGACATTCTGCGAATTCCCTTTACGGTCTTTTCTCATGTCATAGACATCGCAGTTCTCCTCCGCTCGGACTGCTTCGCGACAATAAGGGAACAACATTTCGAGAATCACGATTCCTGCGAAGTCACAGTCGTCGGCCGTACCTATTCACAAAGCATTTCAGTCGGAGAATATCAAACCTGGAGATCAACGTTGTCGGGGTATTTCTCCTGGACCTGACGCAGGGCCATCGCGGCGGAAATCCGCTTCATTTTCCCCAAGCACACGGGTGCCACGTCCAGTCTTCTGTTCTTGACGCACATTCGAGCCATATTCTCCCAGACTGATTCGTTTTTGATGCTTCTGATCGCGGCGAAAGCCTCGTCCATATTTCCCACCGTGAGATAAAAGCTCAGCTTCAGAATGGCGTCTCGAGTTTCTCGGTCACACGACTCGACTCCGACGAAATCGCGCATACTCTGACGGAAGACGTTCCTTGAGTACGTCATTTTCTCGGGGAGGCCGAGCGTCTCCTGGACGCCGAGGCCGGCCATGAAGATATACGGAACCTGCACGCCTATCATCGTGAACTTCTCATGAGAGAAATCGCTCGCATCCTGAACCACGAGTCCGAACTCGGCCGTGGCGAAAACCATGGCCATCGCCGCCCGACCGTCGTCTTCACACGGATGGCACTCGACAAGCAGCAGTCGGGGATCCTCGGTGTCCCAGATGTGGTTTGTAGGGAAGGTTCCGCTCATATCCTTGTAAATTTGGTTCCGATCGCCGGGTTTCGTGGTCTTGGAAAAGTCCAAACAGGAAACGTCGTCTTCCTCGATATCCCACACGTACAATAACGGAAGCATGCGATTGCTCCCCGCGGCGCTGACTATAGCGCTCACTTTGGTGCCGTTCGAGTTGCATCGCACACTGTGCAGCTTGGATCGTTCGGGAATGAGTAGCGACTTGGGTCCGGCGTGCGAAGTGATTTCTTTCCTTCCGCCCACGTCCCACAGACGGATGAAGCCCTTGCTGCTCCCCACGCCCATGAAGAAGCCCGCCACATGAATCGAGACGATTTCGCCTTGGTCCTGCTGGGCGACGATTGTTTGCCTCAGGACGCCCTGGAACGACCTCACCTCAATCTGGCCGTCCTCGATGACGAACGCGTTCTGGTCGTGGATCGAGACTAGCGTCGAGCTCGTATTCATGGCGCCCACGAACTTGACGTTTTTCGTGGCGTGCTGCAGTTCGTAGAACAGAAGACGTTTCCTGTTCGAAACGGCGACGACATCCCGTCCAGCGAAAAGCGCCCTCATCGCTACCTCGGTGTCCAGCTTTATGCTGCTCGACATGTGAATGACGTCGATATAGGCCTGCCGCGCGCTCGATTGCACCACGAGCAGCTGCGAGGAGTACGCCATGCACGCCTCGTGAGCACGGAATACGGTGACGTTTCGCGCCACGGCACTCAGCAGACCCAACGCGTTGCACACGCTCAGGGTCCGGAGATTTCCCGCGACTCCGATCTCGTACGGATTCGAATTCCTCTCCTCGGCGTCGTCGGAAGTCGAGGGATCGGTCCAAATGAAAATGCGGCCGCTCGTGGTTCCAGCGCAAACACGCTTCCCGCCACTGTCGACAGCGAGAGACACGAACAGCTCGGTGGCGTTGTCCGAATTTATTTTGAGCGTCGCATTGTCGTTCGTTTTCAAGTTGACAACCCTCAGGGCCGTATCTCCCGCAGACACGACCAGGATCCCCATTGAAAGCCATTCTATTTGTGCCCGGTAGCCGGAACCGGCCAACTTGATTCGGCTGATCTGCTCGAGAGAGGCCTCGTCGTTTACGCGGAACTGAGACACGACGAGATTGTCCGTGACGGTCACGAGCGTATTATTGTCATCGTTGAATAGAAGACGGATCAGAGCGCCGTCTACTCGGAGCAGATCCTGACAGGCACCCGTCTCGGCGACGTTGTAGATAACGTTCGACTCCGAAGCGACGAAAAAGTCCCTGGCACGCGGCCTGAACACCAGGTCGACGAGAGTCTCCCGAATTTCATGATAGAACACCTGCTCGCCGCTGTTGTCCTCCACCTGCCAGCCGAGGCAGGAACCGGCAACGTCAGCTGTGATCAGTCTGAGGGGCGGTGCCGTACTCCACTCAATAATGGAAACAGCTTGCTTGTGTTGCACGGCTTGGAGCATTGTTCCTCCCATCGGCGTCCATATAGTAACTTCTCCATTTTCCCAGCCGGCCACTAGGCAACGCTCGAAGGGATGCCACGAGAGACGGTGCGGTTGAGCCGAGTCGCTTTCGTAGTCGTCCAGAGAGCGAGTGCTATCGTGCTCGAGCGAATACTCGACGACTCGCACAAGACCTCCGGCGCCTTTCGCGTACGCGACCGCGAGCAGCGGGAAACGCGAGTGCCAAACCGCGTCGCTCGGTGTCGTTTGGCCTGCGGTGGCGCTGTCGCCGCCGCCGTCGTCTTCATCATCGTCGTCGTTGAACTTCAGCGGGGCGTCGAGATAAACAATTGCCGGCATCGTGGGCCGATTGAATCCAAAAACGATCGAGTCACCGATTCCACTCGTTGACGGGGGCACACACGTTCGAAAGAGGAAAGACTCGGCGCTGCTTCGCGAACGTCATTGTCTCGGTTCGGGAACAGAACGCTCAGGAACGATCTCGCTTCGGGGAATCAATATCGAATACGAGCCGGCGAACACAATCAAGGACAGCACGAGTGTTGTTTCCACGGGGTTGCTATGGGAATCCCCGGAGCGGAGCCCGCGCAGAGGTCGCCGCTCCTCTCCCTCGCGCTCGATTCTGATCCGTCTTTGCTCAGCTGTTCTCAACCTCGACCCCGTCGAAGTTCTCACGTTTTTTCCGCATAAAGTGCCCGGGAGAGACTCCGATGCCAGAAAGTCGAGAACGGCTCTTCGGGGAGAAATGGTGACCCGGAATACTTGGACTGATTGATCCTCTCATAAAATATCAAGGGAGGTTCTGGGAACAGAGAAAAAGGCGGAAACGAGCAGAATGAAGGATTTCACGCTCCATCGCGAGTCGGCGCACTCGACAGGGGATCATATCATGTAATGATTAGAAAATAAGAACTACCTGCAGCGATCGAACTCCCCCGACGGAGAGAGCATTTGCCCCTTGAATTTGTATACGGCGGTGGCGTCTGCTGTGCATGAACTCGAGGCCTCATGGAAGTGATATATGTACTTTCGCTATGACCCAACTGAATCTATCGAGACTTCAATCTATTTCTTTTCGACTCACCACCGAGTACGCTTCTTCGATAGTTTTCCGTAAAGGTTCATGGTGATGAGGTCTTGATGGTAATGAATGCAGTTCGTTCGAATAATGACCGTGTCGGGAAGAGATCACCGAGCAAACGGTCGAGTTCCTCAACGAATGGAATGCATTATTCATAGCCATGCTGCTCCTTCGGACGCCGCGCCGCGATTAATTCCCCGCGTCATGTTCTTAGGCAGACCCTCCGAGCTGTTCGTCACGTCATCCAGCTCTCGATTATTTCATGAAGAACAGCGGCGAATTGAAGCTTCGCAATAGAAGCAGATGCGTCAGGCATGAAGATGTTCCGGACACAGCCTCGATCCGGTGTCGACTGACGTGCTCGTCGCGTCCTTGCATGTCGTGGAATAATAGTTTCCATATGGGATTCATTGTCATCCCTCCTGAGCAGGGATCTGGTGGGTCGTCATTATTCATGAAATACTAAGCAGAGTAAGAAGTGGTTCGCAATTTCAAAATGACGGTTCGCTGATATGGCGCGAGAGTCTGGGTCTTTCGACTTGGATGAAGTTCTCAGTTCTCATTCGCTAGGAAGGCTGCATCGATTTGCTCCTCGTCCAGAAGGAACTAACGAGACATCGATCGGTCGAGCGAGCTTCGCGACGGAATTTTCATATCTCTCCTCATCTCATGATTTTCGCCGATGTCTGTGCGAGATGATGTTCTACTCAAGTATCGAGTCAAACGCTCACACAGAACGCCACCCCACAGAAAGTATCATAGGGGCGTTGAATGATATGGAGCCACTGAAAGACGGCCGAATCTTGTATGGTCACGAAGCACCCCCTGGACATTTTTCCTCTTCGTGCGACATAGTTCGTGTTCGTTGCTCCTCTGAGAATTCACCGAATTCACAATCGATGTTTGCGTCAATCTATATCTGTCTTACGCCCGATGTTGTAGCACGCGTGGGATCCGGAGGGGAAATCCGTACATTTTTCGCTTCGGAACATCCTTCACGAGCACGAGACAGCTCTCGGCGCTCGACAGGGATTTCACGTTAGGCATTGTACTTTCACGAAGAGACAAACAGGTCCGGATCCCTATTCGACATCATCTCCTCCGCGGTAAAGTTCGAACCGTCGGCCTCGATGCTCGGTCACGTGATCGAGTTCCTCCCTGACGCGAATTCTGCCCAGGAGTTGGAAGGAGCGAAGCGGAGCGAATGATTGGCGAAAGAGCGTGGGTGCGGGAAGATTACGATCCAGAGCCAAACATCCAGGTATTAGCTCCGCGAGATACACGGATCCGCCATTCACGTGCCTCTCACGAGCGTTTCGCGAGGACGGGGTCATCAAAATTAAGCTTGCTTAGTATCGCGGTGTCTTAGCCTTGGAACATCGGAGGGGTATCGATTCAGGGCTCCGTCCAAGGATTTATTATGTTCTTCTCGGTCACGCTACATCCGATAAGTGATCCCTTCAAGCGGGATTTTTCCGAGCGAAAATACCACAGAGTATCTATCAAATCATTCTGAGCAGAAGCAAAGCTGCGGACCTCTCCCTCGGTGTCTCCATGGATCGTTCCAGCGAAGGACGATTCGCTCGGATGTGATCGCTGTCGGCGTGGAAACGATCCAGAACGCCCGGACACCCTGGACAATGATCAAATGATTTACAGCCCCGAAGCCGTCAATCGTATGTATACGTCGAATGTAGCGCTATTCTCGCGGTCGTCGTCCCTAATTCCTTCCAATAAAGCCAGGGCCTTGAGAGGGTGGTCTTGTTAGTCCTCGCGCGTTTTCCAATAATATGCTAATGTTCATTGATGTCTCGAGCTATTCACAGTCAGGATCAGCTCCGCTCGCGGCTCCCACCTGTGGCCTCTCCCGCCGAATCTGAGCGGTAACATGCTCTGCAAAGTATGGCGATGTTCTACAGAGAGGGTTTTTTCTGCGAAATTTCCTTATTCTCATCGGTAGGAATTCCGCTGGCCCTCCATGAACGTGTTCTTCGCTTTCGATTCGCTTATCGCAGGAAGAAACCGCTGACTTTGTCGCTCTTATTGTTCCCGGCTCAGCTGCTGCGATGTCCCTCATTGGAATGCCAAGGGATCTGGAGCTGACCAGTGACAAGAACACGACCGCGAGATGAAAACCGGGTCTGACATGGTTTCAGCGGGGAGAAAAAAATCCGCGGATGCAAGTGACGTAAGCCGTCGAGTATGTAACTGTGGTGCGGCGCGTCAGTGACCCTCTGCTGTTTTCGCAATTCAACAAAATCCCATACGTCAGTTGAGAGCAGCCGAGCAGTCTAGCGTGAAGGGTCTCATTCCTCCTCGATCCTCATATGAATTTCATGAATTTGAACGACCCTATCAGAAGGGCGATCCCCCGCGCACAGATAAGCCGTGAATGACCCTCCTGGAATCAAGTAGCGAGCTCTCAGGGAGCGGGAGCCCGTCGTCTATCCTGGCGCACTGACGCCTGCGACAGAGCTCCCTTGCGGCTTCAGTCTCAAGTTGAAAAGTCGACGCTTGATGTTCAACGGAAGCCCTTGGATCTCGACCGTATCTTCGCGATTCGCGAGACGTTTGGGGAAGAGCTATGGGGGAAACTCACGCTCCCTCGCTCTCCGTGCCGTTTTCAGCAGAGGAATCAACCAAGCCGGTTCGTTGTTGATCTAGGCAATATCGGTGTGCGCATCTTTTCGCACAAGCCGGGACCCAATGGTTCCAGACCTCGGAGGGCTACGATGACCTCGTCATGCCGCGTATTGGAAGACAAGCATTTGGAAAAGCGTGGGAAACCTATGATGTTCGCCATAGCCTGTTGAATGTATACTCATCGCCCACGTTTCCCAAATTTCAATCCTCCTGCTCACAGGAGAATTACTCGTGTCCGGCGGATAGCGAAGTGGTCAACCTCAACGGGCCAACGAACCATACACAGCATTTGGGCATCTGTGAGTACGGACGTAATCCGAAAATGTAAGAGAACGAGTACAGCTCCGTCAAACAGGGCGCCTCCTCTCATTCGACTCCAGAGTGAACATTCAGACTTCTCTCAAAGAGTATACACATGCGCGGAACATTTACAGCGCGCGCTCAGAGCACCCGTAATGGAGTCAGCCACCAGCCCGAACCCATTTTCTCCCACATATCGCTTGCCTTGTTTAATTACCTGCCTCGAATGCCCGGGGCAGGCTGAGAGAAATCGGCGGTGAGCCTGAGAACGTGACTCCTGAGGAAGAAGTAATGACCCGCTTTCGATGGGAGGGCCTGCGGCGCCCACTGTGCCATTTGTTGAGAAATCTTTCCCAATATCCTATCGGAGCTTTTAAAATCCTGTCCTGGGCATTTTGGAGCGATGTCTCCAAGGCCTCCCGAATGATCCGGATAACGGGATCCCCGAAGGCAGGAACCTATCGCTTCCCGGCTACGTCTGAGGAGTTAGTCCTAGATCTGATTGAACGTCAAAAAGAGCAACAGAAAAAGATTCACCGACAAACGAGTAGACCAAGTTAACGGGGAGAAGGTGATCTGCCACCAAGTCATCTTAGCGCTGCGCTGGTCGACTTCATGATGAGCTAGAGCACTGGGTTTTTCCCCGGAGAATCCCGCGCTCTCTCTGCTCTTCCCGTCGCATTCGGCTTCTGCCAACACGAGACGTCCAGTTCATCTAGCTCTCCGCCCCGCGCGTGGATATCGAGCATACATGCTCTCACAGCTAGCGATCTACCGATCCAGCTGGCTTAGCATTCTTTTTTTCACATCTTTGAGGATGGACGTGGGTTGAGGCTCTGAGAGTCGGGCCAGGTGTTTTTCGTTTCAGCATAAGAATCCTTCTCCACACAGAGGTCCGAACGCAGGAACGTGTGGAACACGATGGAGGGTGAGGAAGTGAGATATGACGCAGGGTGGACAGAGAAAAACCTTGAACGAAGGGAGCGAGACGAAAATTGAGATCGGATACGCAGAACAAAAAAGGAAAGGTTACAGAGCGGCGAGCGACCGAATTTCGCAAGGAGCTAGCGAGCTCTGCTGAGTCGCTCGGTCGGGGCAGGCAATTATGCAATAGCATCGAAAGGTGTGTCGGAGCGACCTTGAGGAGGGGGAATAAGGGAGTTCTCACTCTAAAGTGTCGCTTGGCCTCAATGTAGACCCTCCCAGGTGTTGAGCCCCGGCCGGGGGAAGGTCATCAAGCCCCGGAATGCTCATACGATGGAATGATTAGATTCACGAACACATCTCAATTCGCGATGATCGTATCGATCGGGCA